CTTTTCCCCCCCCCCCCCCCCCAATATATAAGTCTAGCTACAGAAAGTCAGTCTGTAGAATCCAGCCATGGCTACTGTGCTGTGAATTAGCCTTATTTGATCAATTATCAGATACCTGCACTTAGCAAAAGGCAAACAAGAGCCAATCAGGTTTCAGCCGGTGGGAATGGCTGCACTGCTCAAGATACGTGGAATCTGTTCACACAACTTGAAGAATCTCTGTGGATGCCATGAAAAAAAGTATGCACCGTTTACTGCTCTGGGATGCAGTTGGCTTTAAAGTGAGATCATAATTTAACTGAGAAGAAAGAAAAAAAACCCCAAAACAACAAACCCTGATAGGTTCTTTACACTAAGATAGATATAAAAATTTTTCATAAGAATCTCTGTCCCCCTTTCTTTTTGGCTTCCTGGGAAGAACCAGAAAGATGTTCCTACCCCAACAGAATCCCTGATGCTGGTGACACTGCCTAACTCAAAAGCCACACGCGATGAAGGCACGAGTGACCAGTCAGGTCTTCTGGGCTTAAGCAGCTGCAGTTGCTGCTTTTAGTAGTATTTCACCTCCTCAGGATTCACTAGCAGTGAAGAGGTGAAAGGCTGCACATGAAACAGTTTGCCCGAAAGCCGTGTGCATAGCAAACTTTTACACCAGCTTCTATACAACTATTTGTTTTAACTCTGCAGCTGGAATGTTTCCAGCGTAAGGCTTTTAGAGTGACTCCAGCAATAACAGAAGCCTTTGGATTTTTCTCCTTTTGTTTAAATCCACTAGCCATGCTCAAAAATAATATTTCTTCATGTTTTGTTTTTATACGGTGGCTAGCAGGCACCTTAGTAACCAGCCAGAAATCAATTTCAACCACCATCAACGCCTAAACTACAGTACCAGGACGGTTGGCTAAAGAAAGGAAACTGATTGGCTGTAGTCTGAAACTTGCCTAGTACAAGGTGTCTGGCTGACTTTGTCCTAAATAAGGCTAACATTAGTGAACTAAGAGAACAGCATTTGGTTGCAGTCTTGTACTCAGGAACATCCTTCGCCAATGCGTTGGCAAGATCTCCCTACTTTCCGATCCAGTTTCACCATTTTCATAATGGCTTCCTCACGCCCACGTCCCATGTGGTCAAACGTGCAGTCGTGTTGTTCGGGCAGGCGATGTAACATACAGAACACATAACCTGATGTGGACAGGGAGAGAAAAAAGCAAATACTGTTAAGGATGTGGTTGAAGTGGCAGAATCTTACCTGAATCAGAAGTGAAGGAACATCTACTGGGGGATCGCTCAGTTCTCAACAGTAAATGCCAACTTTTAAGTTTTTACTGATCTTCCTTACAGGGTGTTAATAAATATCTGATTATTTACTACATTTTCTTGAGTATTTATCAACACACTATCAAAGCTCAAGTTATATTAGGTTTGGGCTCATGCCCCCCAAATCATCTAAACTAGCTATGCCCAGATAGCAACAAAGCTAATGTGTTTTTTTTTAAAAAAAAGCTGATCTCTAAAGTATTTTCTACTTCATGGGGAGTTGGTTGTCATTTCTGAAATTCATCTCTATGGTACTTCAGAGTTAGTTCCCAAGCAGGCATTTAAGTCAGAACTGTTAAATCTAAGCATCTTGTTTCCTCCTTACTGCCAGCACCTCAAGCTGGCAGGGACTGCAGGAGAGGTCACTGCTCCTCTACTGTTCCAGTTCTCAGAAGTTTCCCTTCATCAGCTGTTCTGAATCTAAGCACAAGGAGTGAACAGGCAAACAGACGTATCATGCCACATGATCTTGCTCTGGAGCCGAAAAGATGGAAGTTTATTGTCTGTCTAAAGCTTGTCAGTGTTACTTAGTTTTCCAGGGAACCTGTGACACACAAACACACGGCGGTAGATTTTCCTACAGGTGAGGAGGGCATCTTCAACAACCACTTCTTCCTACTCTACAAAGAAAATCAGCTTTTTTCTTATTTGGCCCTAAAACTTTATAACAGTAAAGAAATTGCCTCAGATTTCCTGCCACTAAAATGAATGTTACACAGCAAAACGAGTCACACAATTACAGGGTTCATGTATTCCGCTGCGTATGAAAGTATGAAAGTGCGATACCGCCCACGCTGCCATATTTTTTCTGCCTTATGGTGCAAAGAGCATCCCTCTGCCTCTCACTGAATGCTTTACATTACTGCTGCTCCTCTAATGCTCAAAGGATTCTAAACCCACAAAATGATGATCTGTAAGAGATGGAAAAGGCTAAAAATGAGTGAATGATCAAGTGTGTGTTTGTGCATATATATACACACACATCTAAAAATGTGAAATATTTCAGGCTCTCGTACTACAAAACATCAATTGTAGGAGAGAACAACAGGCTACCTTTATGTTAGTGTGATTGTTAAGAAAACAGAAAAGGACAAAAATATCACATATGGAATTATATTTAAAAAATAATGTGAAGAAAAATTGATTTAACTTTTTTGTTTCAATAGCACTAGCAATGAAAAGACATTGCTATTATCTGTGGCTGGCTTTGAAATCCAGTTCTAGGAACAAAGCCAAAAAGACAAGCTTTCTGTACTGGTTTATGTGATACAGAAATATGGATGGAAAGATGCAGATTGAATTGATATATATATATATCTCTTGCCCCTTGTGATCATTGCCTCCACTTCAGTCACAATCTGGGTCATACCACACTCAAATGCGACACCTTCTTGAGGTGCCAAAAATGCAAGGTCTGATTGTTAAAATGAAAACATCCTTGGATTATGGTTTCAATATTGAACAGGCATTTCACTCAGTTCTCTCTTTACAGAAAGCATGGACTGAAGGCTTCCCTTATTTCAAGAAATAAGACTTCAAATTACTGAGCTAGTGTCCTCTGCAGGCACAAGAATACATAAATGCCTGACCAGATGAGCTCAAAAAATGAAGTTCATCATCTTATCTGCAATGGGTGTGTAAGAAGCAGATGCAAGAAACCCTGCAGATACAGACTGGGCTGAAGTAATTTCAGTCCCTGGTAGGTAAGAAATGGTTCTAAATCCTGCTGGTTTTCCAAATCCTCTCCACTTGGTCAACAAGTATATTTAGAAATGCTATTTAATACTATCTATAAGATATCTTGAACATGTATACAACCTTCTAGAAAACTTCAGCAAGACACTTTTGACAATTCTATAAGTCTAATAAGAAAAATACATCTAACATGATTTATCACTTTTGAACATGACCTTTCAATTGCCCCATCTCCTCGCCTTCTACCAAGCCTCCTGCCTTTTATAGACCAGTATAACTTCACCATTTTCCTTTCTTCTTTGCCATCCTCCTCAATGCAATCTATTCTGTACTTTGCTATATCTTTCTTTTTTGAACATCCTTTCAATCTTTTTAGAGCACTTTTCATTTAGGAAAAGCTGTACTGTATGCTGTTTTTCTTCCAGATGAAACTTATTATTTTTTCCTGTTGGACAAGTATTTCCTTGAAGTCTTGAAGAGAATTCCAGTAATTCCACAAAGAATGGCAGATGATTTTCATTTTCCAAGGCTATGGGAGAAGTATTTCTAATTTCAGCAAATAAATGATCTAAATCTGTTATTTATATATCTAATTAAGTAAGTACTACTAACTAGAACTGATAATACCTAATGAAAGAATTCCTGAGCACATGTTGATAGTTTTGCATATACTGGCTGTTTTTATGGAGAGGGTTTATTCTTGTTGAATTAGCAATGGGGATCTTCTGGAAGTCTCATTCCCAAAAGAGACTTCAGATCTTTAGTCCTATTGCTTTGAATGCCTAGGTCACTTTAAAGACTGGAACTTGTATTTTTGTAGGTTTCATTTAAAATTTAAAGGACTTGAATAATGCTATGTTGTAGCTACATTTTTCTTTAGTTCAGAGTGCATAAATTCAAATGAATTATTACTGCTTTATTCACTCCTTGCTTACTCACTGGTCTGGAAATCAGAGTGGACATTCTGTGGTCTGCGTGTGCACAAGTGCCTGATGACACATCAAGACCACTGGTTTAGAACTTAGGTGCACTGCAGCAGAAGGCTTATAGAATACCTCTATTTTGATCCTTAAAACCACTCCATATTTAGTAGCAAAACCTCTTCTCCTGAGAACTCTCCTTTTGTTATGAAGCAAGTTAGTTTAATGAACTCTCCTATGGTGTATTTACTGTTAAGTTCTTTATCGGAAGATAACAAATACAGGTTGTCTCTCCTAAAGGATTTTACTGCAGAAATACTTCTTTTGGCACACTATCATTAAAAGTCAAAATAAATAACTCTCTGCTAAGGGAAAGAGCATTGGAAAAGGAAATCCATCTGCCAGCTGAAGTTAGTTTTACCCTCATCATCAAATAAAAATATGCCAGTCTTCAACTCCAAGCTTAGAAGATTTCAGTCTAATAAATGTAGTAATACGTCTCACAGCATTGCAGTTGTTTTCTGATGTTAGAAGTGAACTATCACCTACTTCCAACCTTGATAATGATTCTATGATTCTAAAGGGTAACAATTTTAAACTGAAAGAGGGAAGATTTAGGTCAGACGTGAGGAAGAAATTCTTCACCATGAGGGTAGTAAGGTGCTGGAATAGGTTGCCCAGGGAGGGCGCGGAAGCCCCCTCCCTGGAGGTATTAAAGGCCAGGGTGGATGAAGCCTCATGCAGCCTGGTCTAGTGTGAGGTGTCCCTGCTTATAGCAGGGAGGTTGAAACCTGATGAGCTTTTAAGGTTCCTTCCAACCTTAACCATTCTATGATGCTATGATTCTTAGGTCCCTAATGCAAACATCTTGAAAAAACACTGTGTAATGCCTCAACATGTTTTGAGCTCCTCTAAGAACCCTAGCAACTACTTTACAATATATAATTAAAAAAACACTTCCATTTCAGCACTAGAGCACAAATGGCTAAAGCCATATAGCAGTGTGCCATCTCTGCCTTAACTTGTACCCATGCAGATGTGTCTTTTGCATAGGAAATGCAAAAAGACATCATTCAAAGGAAGCCTTAAGATCATACACAAGCAACTGTGAAGTTGCTTTCATCATTCCTGAGTAATCTGCTGGGAAAAGGCAATTGGAGAGAACAGGAATAGAAACAACAAAAAATCTTCCATATTCAACATTAGAGAATACCACAGACCTACAATTTGCTCTGTGTAGGTAATGATGAAAAATTACTGCATTTTCCTCACTTGGATTCAAGAGCACTGGCTTGATGGGAGTATGGAATGACAATAAACAAATATTTCAACTCAATCTTACATTTAATTCTTAACTTTCTGTCTTCAAATTCTGAAAACAGTACACTGCTAAAATACCATCAAAAAAATTTGTGGAACAACAGAAAAATTTAATTAAATGGCATAATAATCCACAACATAAAAGACAAATTACAATTTTGGAAGGTCTCTGATTTTGCAAAATGTCTTTTTTCTCTTTGTTAACTCAAGGGAAAGTGGTCAGACTTTCTGGAACATGGCACAAGTGTCCAATAACTGGATTACTGCAAAATACCAACAGAGAAGCACAGCACAGTGGTGGCACTACTCTAGTGGATGTCCAAGGCCAGGCATGGCATAGTCCCAGACTTTTTTAATGTACTGCCAGAGAACATCACACTGTTACTTAAGATATATAATAAATATAATGATCCCTGCTAGCTGAATAGCATCACAATAGAAAGGAAGCTCCTTTTGCTCTTGCCCAAGACTCTGGTCCTAATCAGACTGATGAGACATTCAAAAAAGCTGACAAAAGAGGACAGGTTTGTTTTCTTTGTGAGCATGTTTTTAGAAGTGGTGAAAGTGCCAAGCAAGCTGATTAAATATTTATGCAGCTTCCACATTTACAAAGTGGCTTAAAAGCATTTAAAAGCGTCCTATTGGAAACATCTCAAAAAGAGGATGGATGCTGCCACAACTACCATACAATATCAGAGCTTCTGACACTTTAAAATCATCTTACCTGCCCATGACTACTGCTATTTATTATTTTAATTCCCAAGTCAAAAAGCAGATGTTCAGAACTGCCAAAATTTTCAGCCATTTCCAGATTTTATTTAATAAGCAACTTATGTTTGGATAGATCCCCTATACAAAGCCTTTTCAAAAGTAGCCTTAATAACGGCATAGACTTATGGATATGCAGAATTCTGTGCTGTATGCTTTGGC